CAGTCCCAGGGAACCAACCAATCTAATGTCGAGGGAAATGGACTGCGAATTCAAGCTTCTCGTCATCAAAAACTCTTGTTATCATGTTTTAGACGTGGTTACAATCAGGACATCCTGCTCAATACACCCACGATAAGCCAAAACGCTGTATTTTGGGTGGTCAGATACAGAGTTTGACCCCCGTGGATCCTAGACGAAATTTTTTCGGCTGAAAAGTAGTTGTTGACCTTCTCCCAGATGCGAGGATGCTCTCTGCAAAGTTTATTTGCATTTGGTTGGGTGCTAAGAAAATGCATGAAGAACAAAGAAACAGACAAACTTTCTTCTTTATATATATAGATTTTATGAGTCGAGATTTGCAAATTAGTTATTTTTATTTACGATAAAAACTTTTTTTTAAATATGCTTCTTATTTCAAGAGTATGGACTATTCGACTAATTATATAGATCTTTCATTGGGTGAAACATAATAAACAGAAGTTCTATTTAATACCAGATAAATTTTTTCTTCACTTGCAATTTTTTGTTATTCTTTGCTATTTCCAGTATGAACTTTTTAGTTTTGCTGTTCTATTTGTTTATATTCGAAGAAAGTTTGAAATTCGTGTGAAATGAGAGCTGAACAAAGCATCGGAATACTTATACTCGAGGATTTGGCACTGGTACACGCATTAAAATTCTCTAAAGGATAAGACTGAATCAGGTCATTTTCCCGATCTTGGGATATTTTAGTTGTTTGTGTTAAAATTAATTTAGTGGCGACTGTCAATTACTGTTCGACGGCTTATTTTGGAACATGTCTTGACTAATCTTTCGAATCACTTCGGTGGCGCTCTATAGAAATGAAAACATTTTCTTGTCGCTATAGAGGATTACAAGTAGTATCCGCCAGGTATAAAATCCCTTGTTTACAATGTCCGAATCTGACCAGACAGGACTCACTGCAAAAGAAAATTCAGTAGTGCTTTGAGTATCATTAGATCACTATTAGAATTGACTAGCTATCTTATGACGTCGAAGCGACTACCAGATTCTGATAGAAGAGCCTCGTTGGTATTAAGTATATGGTTTAGGCTCGAGACCAAAGATTTTGAATCCGATGAATATGACTCGAAAACTTGATTGAGAATTGATGGAAACTAAACCATTGCAACTTTACTGGGTGCTGTCACTGGAATAGTTTTGACGTAAAAGCGAACATATTTTGAGAGTAGAAAAACGGTTTCATCAGTTCGCGTTATGCTAGAAAGAACATATTGCAATAAAATGAGATCAGGCACTTATTTCTGTTCTTTGAAGATGAAATGAATAACGAAGTTCTTCTACCCCTCGAACGCAGATAAAAGTGCACCCATATATACTCGATAATTGTGCAGGAACAGTCTTGAACACGTATTTCGAAATGATCGTACTCAAAGTTCTGATTTTTCAAGTGAAATTTTCGCTGCACTCGCATTCGAGAAATTCTTTATTAGCCCACCTCTATCGAAATTCAAGAAAGACGTAAACAATCAGTCGTAGTGTTGGAAAAACTTGTCTTGTGTCTATCTTTGATAAAAGCACTCATAATCCTACGGGTCCGTGGTATGTGATATCGAAATGGACTCTTGAAGTGACATCAGTTCAAGGTCAGCTATGCATATCTTTCATCTATTACAGAGTCAAGGATTGTGAGAAAATTTTTGTAAAATCGAGAGTGGAGCCAGACTGGAACCGCAGCTGAATGAAAAAGAACGATTTTACAGATTCTTGATGAGCAAACCACACATCCTATTTACATTTCTTACCTTTGCGTTTTGGAGTCGTAACACTCCCTCGAGTTATTTCATATTTGCGAGGTAGCTAATATTATAAGTTGAGAAACCAAATGGCCGTAGTACTCAAAGAGTCAATACTACAGTGGATGAGATTGGTTGAACTCATACTGCAAGCGTAAAAGAAATTGACTAGCTTTCTTGCTCGCTGATAGAAGATGAAGGAGAGTTCAAATTCTTCTTTTTCTAGATTGTCTCTTTTGATGGGAGATGATCACCACTAGTTCTACTGTCTACTGATGAATACTGCTATCACACGTACTCTCTTCTCTTAATTTACAGAATCCTGCATCTTTAAAGATATATTAGGAATTGTTCTTTTTTTTATGAGTCATTATACAAAATGAAATTGTTTGTTTAGAAAAGCCCAACTTCTCCGAATCAAAAAGTAAATCACCATACTCTAACAAGAAACTTGATTGTAACGGACGTGCTTGTGTCGAATGTGGCCACTGTCGTGATTGGTACTGGCGTCCTGATGGTAATGACAAGGATTATACAAAGCGTGACGATGCAACTTGTACTTCTGATGGTTGCGATCGTGGTTTCCGTTTTCCTTTTCGTGATGGTCGTTTTTGTTTTGTTGATGATGATGATGATAATGATCGTCGTCGTGATTATTATCATTTTATTTACTCTATTTCTTATTTTGGTGGTATTGATGTTATTGATAATCGTCTATGTCAATGTGACGATAATCGCTCTTAATCCTGCAACTTTCGTTTTGAATGATTTTGACTAATTTGCTTATCATTAATAGTTGTCTATTCTCTTTATCCTAGAGAAGAGTCCACTAGCCATAAATTGTTTGCTTGCTTGTGTGTCCGCAGGGTTAAAGAAACATCACCCCAGAATGTTCTGTTTAAAACTTGACCAAAGGGTAATCGGGGTGGGGATTTTGAATCTGAGATCAGTTTTACGATATTGAATCAATTAATAACTGTTTAATAATCAGTTAATAATTAATATTATTAATTTTTGTGAAGTTTGACCAGGTTTACTGTACGCTCCCGCAAGGTGCTAGAGACTTGATTCTTTCACCATCGGATAGAGCAGAGTCTAGAGACTAGAAATGCATTTCTTCAAAACAGAATTTGACCTCTTCGAGCGTCGAAATTTCCGAAACGCGAAAGGCGCTAAAAATGGCACAGCACTCATCGTTAGCTATCGTTAAGTGTGATAGTAGACTCCTGCGGGGCAGCCCCGAATTCCGCCCCGTCCCGCGGGACAGACGGGGGCGGGACAAAAAAAAATTACGGACTTAGGCTCATGGGCTCGGGACAATTTTATTTTTACGGGCTCGGGACAAAATGTCCGATATTCAAATCTAGCAGATGTATTACATATCAGTTTTGATCTGCTGAATTTCTTTTATTATAATTCAAAATATACATTTATCTGGCTACATTTGACCATGTAATACTCTATTGTTGATTCTACTAGTCTTAGTTATCCGCATGAGAGCTCATTTGTTAATCATTATCATTATTGTCATCCATATTTTCTTCCTCTTCTGCAACAAAATCAGTTCGTTGCCGTTTAGTTGGTGATGATTGTGGTGTGGATGATGTTGATTGTAAACTATTTTTTCGCTTACTAAATTCTTCACCAGCTGGGGGGAAAATTTCTCGTAATGTAGATAAATTACGCTGAATTTATTAGTTGAGTCGTTATTTTACAAACAGGACTTTAAGAGAGTACAGCAGTATAAATTAGCGTTAATTAGCGCTAGTTACCCAATAACAGGAAGGAAAGAGAATAAAGTTTTACAATTTTTTTGTACTAAATAATCTTCACACATTTCTCTTTTGATCTACAAAAAAACCAAGCTTTCATTATGAATAGAGAATCTGGAAGAATTTTTTTAAAAATAGTCCCGAACTGAAAAATTTACCACAATTTTCCAAGTAATTAATTTTTTCTCAGCCTAACGATGTCGGTAAGCCAAAAAAACTTCAGGATATAAACTTCGAAGTGTCCACTACAAATAGGGAGGATTTAAGGAAAATCTGAATGGGGGAACTCCCCTTAAAACGACATACTGTAGATGGATGAGGCAATAATTCTTTTACTGGTACAGCCGTACCGACTATTGCTCCAGCATTCATTAACTGTTTGGCCAAGCTGATAAAACCGTCATCAGATATAGATTCAAATGAACGATTATCAACAGCACAATATTCGACACACGCTTCTGTTAGTTGGTATTTAATTGTTGCATAATCATTTGGTTGTGCTTCACAATAAGATGAGACCGTACATTGGCGTCCTTTTGGTGTGATACTCTTTATACCATTTTTCTTCGGACAACTGTGATTTTTTACTAATCCATTTCAAAACAGTTCCACAAGATAAACAAACAACGTAGTCTTGGGAAACTTTCGATAATTGTATTTGTGAAAATGATGTCCAGCAATCACTACGACTAATAGCCGGTTTAATGAATGAAATTGTTGGATCTTTCGCTGTGACCAATGCTTGTAACTTTGTTTTCACATTATTAGTACTCTTAGCATTAACAAGTGACATAATTAATGAATAGATAAAGAAATACAATTCTCTGAAGACGATGAGAAGTTCAATGAAACGATCAAACAGAAACAAAGGTTTCTACTACGCGCCATCAAACTTTAAAGAAATTTAGTTTCATCTTCCTCTTCATTAGTCTATATTTATCTTATCAATCTACTTTTAGTTTTTTACAGCAGCGTCTGGAAATGCCATTTGTAATTGAAT